GGTTTAACTAAGAGATGGCGCCAGCGAAAAGTACGCAGCGTATTAATTTGACACATACGCATTTTGTTCGTCTGACATTTAACTACAAACACACACAAGTTGAGTCCGCCAAAAACTAGCGTCTTTGTTTTATCGTTCAGTGATCTTGTCGAGTTTTGTGCCTGAAAAAGAACATTTGCGGCACGCATTGCTTTTTTTATTTAATCAAAAGAAAAAGGCTGTTGAAAGTCATCGTTTGCTGATAGAAACATATGGTGAACACGCTCCGATCGATTAGAACATGTGAGACATGGTTTCGACAATTTAAAAATAGTGATTTCAATGTGAAAGACAGTGAGCGCTCTGGTAGACCACAAAAATGCGAAGACGAGCAATTGCAGGAGTTATTGGATGAAGACCCAACTCAAACTCAACGGCAATTAGCAGAAGCATTACATGTATCACAAGAAACAATCAGCAGACGTTTACGAGCAATGGGAAAGATCAATAAACTCGGTAAATGGGTCCCACACAATTTGAATGAACGTCAAATGGAAAATCGCAAAGTCACTTGTGAAATGCTGCTTCAACGCTACAAAAAGAAATCATTTTTGCATCGAATTGTGACGGGTGACGAAAAATGGATTTATTTTGAAAACCCGAAGCGGAAAAAATCGTGGCTTTCACCTGGTGAAGCCGGTCCATCAACACCAAGGGCAAATCGCTTCGGCAAGAAGACCATGCTCTGTGTCTGGTGGGACCAGAGCGGTATTGTGTATTATGAACTCTTGAAGCCCGGCGAAACCGTTAATACACAACGCTATCGCCAACAAATGATTAATTTAAATCACGCATTAATCGAAAGACGACCGGAATGGGCCAGAAGACATGGCAAAGTGATTTTGTTACACGACAATGCGCCGTCTCACACAGCAAAACCAGTGAAAGACACCTTGAAATCGCTTGGATGGGACATCCTTCCGCACCCGCCGTACTCCCCAGACCTGGCGCCATCTGACTGTCACCTCTTCGCATCAATGGGGCACGCGCTCGCAGAGCAGCACTTCAGCAATTTCGAGGAAGTTGGAAAATGACTCGACGAATGGTTTGCCGCAAAAGATAAGCAGTTTTTCTGGCATGGTATTCATAAATTACCTGAAAGATGGGCGAAATGTGTAGAAGCCGATGGCCAATATTTTGAATAAAAAAAAATTAATTTCCCTTGAAAATTACGTGTTTTTTTTACCAAAAAACCGGAAAAAATTTATGCATACACCTGGTATATATTGATATTGTTAGATGTATCTTTATTCACAAACGTACCAATCGATCTTGTAATAGATAGCGTTAAAAGAAGATGGCAATACATTGGAAAAAATACAAAAATTTCTAAAAGAATTTACTTATGCTATTAATTAAATTTTATTAATTAAACTCTACGTATTTCACGTTCAATGATGTGATTTACAAACAAGTGTTTGGTGTAACCTTGGGTTCTCCTTTGTGACAATCTCCGATTGTGACAGATTTGGATGCAGATCTGGAAGAGTGTGCAATTAGTAAATTGTCATTTGCGATTCCATTTTATTTTAGATATGTAAATGATATTATATCATCTATTCCATTTGACAATAAAAAAGAATTACTCAACGTTTTTAATTTGTTACATAAAAGACTACAATTCACAATGAAAACAAAGGAAAATTAATTTAACTTTTTAAATTTATACCTTATAAGAGATAATAATCAAATAATTTTTGACCTTTTTTATAAAAGCACGTTCTCAGAAAGTGCTCTAAATTTCAACTCTCAACACCCAAAATCACGTAAAAAAGGAATTATCATTGGTATGCTTGATAATAAAATAATAAAATTCATTCATCCTAAATTTCATTAAAAGAACATAAAGAAGACAATTAATATATTACTTCATAATAGTTATTCATTAAAATTTATAATCACTACAACAGTTAATCGATTAAAACACTATATATTATCATCATATATTACACCATATATTAAAACACCATACATATATTAATAACAATAACAAAATAAAGTTAAATGACAAAAATAAATCACAAAAAATTAAAAAATTGTTTACAATACCCTCTATATAAACATTGATAAAAAACTGAACAATATAGTTAAAAAAATTAATTATCAAATAGCATATAAAATACTGTGCAAATTAAATATGTTTATAAAAACAGGCAAAGATTAGTTGAAAAAAAATGTCGAGATGTGATGTGGTTTATAAAATAGACAGTAAAGATTATGAAACTACATTTGTTAGTCAAACGAACAGGCAACTAAAAACACAGATTAACAAACATATAAGAGATATTAATAAAATCAGTGGTTCTCCCTCGATTATATTTGAGCATAGCATATCTACTGAATATGATTTCGATTGGCAAAATATTAGGATTTTAGACAATGAACCTTCGTATTTGACTAGAATGGTATCGGAAATGATATTAAAAAACAAAAGAACGGGATTAATAAACAAAAGAATAGAATTAATAAACAAAGTAACAGCGATTATTGTCTGATACTTATCTCCCGATCATCTTTCTCCCACTTAAGGAATCTAATAGAAAATATGTTATATACGAAGCATGATAACTAATAACATTTATTATTGATATCTTGACTAAGAAAGTTATAACTTATAACTGAAAATAATAGACGACTTTATAATACAATGTAAGAATACAGCAGATGGAAGGAATTAGGCAATATCGATAATTAAATATGATAAGATAAGAAATAATTAAAAATTATAATTCAACAATAATAGTAATAAGGCTCAATAAATTTAAATAGAAAGACAAAGGGCTAAGATTAATCATTATAAAATTAAAATTTATTTGAAACCGTTAATAAATAAACATGTCATTTAGTTAAAATATAAAACTTTAATTTGCTGATAATATATAAAACAAAACGTTTCGATCTCTGTTGGATCATTATCAATGTAAATAAAAATAACAGTGGAAATATTACATAGATAAGATATAAAAAATTGAAATTCGCTCTCGATCGCAGTACTAATTAATAATATTGTTCAATACAAAATAAATGTTATAAGAATGTTGTGATCGATAATCATGTATCCCTCTGGATTATGTAGATTATAGATAAACATACTTGTTTCTGTTAAAAAGTACAAATATAATGTAAAATTGTAATAGGAATAAATAATCAAATCTAATAAGAGAAATACGAACTAAGAAGCAAGAAAATAAAAGTAAAAAAGTAAAAAAATAATCTAATATTATGAGAAATGTACATTAGAGTTATTAATATGAATTAAAATTGTATGTCATAAATTATATACAATATAATCAATTTAGAAACAGCTAAATCAAATGAGAATAAATACCTTCTATTGTGTGTAATATAAACGTCGTCTATTCTTAGGCAATGCGATGAGATTGAAAATATAGTTATTTCTCTGAGATGCTCAGAGACAATGTAAAATACACATATCAAGAAGGTTGAAGTAGTAAATTGGAAAGGAAAGGGAACATAAGAGAAAATAAAGAGGGAAGAAAAAAAGTGGAGAGAGGAGAAATAAAAAAAGAAAGAATGTAGTTAAGAAGGAGAAAGAGATTGAATAATCTGTGAGTAAGTTTCAGGTAATTCAGTATCATTCTTTTTATTAAGACTTTGTTTCTGTCTTTTGATGTGAATCATTTCAGACACTCTCTTGTTATACGAAGATTCGCAATCTAAAATTTTCACTTCGTTCCATCTAAAATTGTGGTCAAAATTGATACGATGATCAGTTATAACAGTAAGAAAACCAGTATTCTTCTTAATATGAGAGATATGTTCTCGTACTTAATTTTCTTTTTGTCTGACCAACATAGCTCGCCTCTTAATCATCACAAGACGATCTTATAAATTACGTCGATCTTATAAATTATTCTGGTTAGATAGAAAATCTAGCTTATTTTTTCCTTTTTTAATAAGATTTTTTAATATATTAAGGATAGAAAAGACTAGTTTACAATAGAACTGGAAATAGAAAGGAAACTTTCAGAAATAGATTTGACGTAAAAAATCATAAAATATTTGTCTTTAACTTGTAAATTACATGTAATGTGTTTATTATATACATTTTCAATTATTTATTTCTACAATTTTTTATTTACAATTTTTTACTTGTTATCGGTGCATCCCTTTTCAATTTCCACGCCTCTCATTACGCAATCTATTGCATTTCGTTTTTTTATTAATTGTTATACTTAATACACTTCAAATGTCATCTGTTTTTTGTGTAATATATTATAATTATGAGAAATTATTCCATACAACACTGTCTCAAAGGACGTCTACATCATAAGAAATGCCGCTCGGAGAACTGTGTCCTGTGGGACTTTTTAAATAGAAATACTTGAAATATTATTTTGATTTCACTTCTTTTTTAGCATTATTATATTTGGTATCTTTTTTCTGCAAAATATACTTGACCTTTTTTTTTACATTTTTAATGTTATATTATACACTAGTTCACGGAACTTAGATTTTATTTATTTTGCAGAAATCTCATTCATTTCATAAACAACTTTTACCT